GATGAGGACAAGCTAATGGTTGGGAGTTTCGACAGTGATGAGGAGTTGTATGAATTTTATGATGAATAAAACTTGAGTTCAATAACTTTATGTAATACATTTTGTTTTCAAATTTCGGGCCCCCAAATTAAGGTGCGTATTGACATGGGAGCGTCTTATACATGGGGAAATACGGTATGTCATCTCATGTATTGTCCCTTTTGTCATTATGAAATGTCCATCTTTGTCTTGTTACCTTTTTTATCTTGAAGTCTATTTCATCAGATATAATTATGGCTACACCCACTTTTCTCTGGATGCCATTTGCTTAGAGTATCATTTCCACCCTTTCACTTTGAATGTATATTGGTCCTCGCATCTGAGATATGTCACTTGAAGGCAGCATATGGTTAGGTTTTGTTCTTTCAATCCAGTTTGCTACTCTGTGCCTTTTTATTGGTGAATTCAGTCCATTTACATTTAGGGTGATTATTGATATAAGAGAATTTCCAGTAGCCATTTTATCTTTTGTTTTCTGGTAGCTCTGTGTCTCCATTGTTTCTTTTCCCTCATGTTTCTGTCTTATTTTAGTTTGGTGGTATTCTATGATATTTTCCTGTTTTGTCTTTTTCTATGTTATGTGTCTTAGTTCTGGATTATTTTTATTTTGAGTGGTTAACATTAAGTTTATATAAAAGAAAGCTTCATATATACAGTAGTCCTTTTCTTCCGCATGCATCTTAGCTGTTTTCCCCTCTGCAAATTCAGATCTTTTGCCCCTCACCTTTTGTTTTTGCTGTCTCATATTATCCCTATTTATTGTGTGAGTGCACTTCCGAATTGCAATAGGTATTTTCTTCTATTTTTTTTATGTTTTTACTTCCTTTAATCTTTATATCAAGTGTACAGTACCGTATTCTGAATAAGGGTTCCAGTTTCCTGCTTCTGTTTGTTAGTCATCTTACTTATAGTTTTGTATTCTTTGGTCTTTTTGTTTCAGATAGAAGCCCCCTTCAGTATTTTCTGTAATGCAGGGCTCAGCTTCTGTATGCCTGGAAAACTCTTTATTTCTCCTTCATATCTAAAGGATGACTGCTGGATATACTGTATTTCCCTATGTATAAGACGCACCTTAATTTGGGGGCCCGAAATTTGAAAACAAAATGTATTACATAAAGTTATTGAACTCAAGTTTTATTCATCATAAAATTCATACAACTCCTCATCACTGTCAAAACTCCCAACCATTAGCTTGTCCTCATCGGTGTCTGATGACGAATCACTGTCTTCATATATTGCCTCTCATGGCCTTCTTCTGCCGTGGCGTTTTCAGTAGGGTTTCTTCTTCCCGTAGCCAGTCTCAGATTGTTTTCTCAGTTGGAGGAGGACCAAACTTATGTTCAGCAGCACCATTTCCATTGACTTTTGCAAACTGGACCACTTTTAACTTGAATTCAGCACTGTACAAAAATCTTTTCTGAGCCATTTCTGGGCAGAACGTGGGAAAACGTAACCTACCGTAATATACCAGTAACAAGTGTGAAACAACGAGCGCAGAAAAGCGGGAAACCCAAGTAACAAAAAAGTACAACCACTGTATAAGACGTACCCAGTTTTTAGACCCCAAATTTTTCAAAATGGGGTGCGTCTTATACATGGGGAAATAAGAGTAACCATGAAATTTCAGGGAATAAAAATGGAAAAAAACAAAAAAAAAACAATTACATTTGCAATTGCAACAAAAATAATAAAATACCTAGGAATAAACTTAACAAAGGATATGCACTGAAAACTACAAGACTTTATTCAAAGAAATTCAAGAAGACAAAAAGAAATGGAAAGTATTCCATGTTCATAGACTGGAAGAATCAACATAGTTAAAATGGCCATATTGGGCCGGTCGGATTGCGCATATGGTTAGAGTGCAAGCTCTGAGCAACAGTGTTGATGGTTCGATTCCCACATGGGCCAGTGAGCTGCGCCTGAGCTGAATTGCTGCTGAGCTGCCAATGGGCTGCGGGATGGCTCAGCTGGTAAGAGCACGTGCTCCTAACAACAAGGTTGCCGGTTCGACTCCCACATGGGATGGTGGGCTGCCCCCGCAATCCCCCCTGCTCCACCCCACCCTCCAACTAGACTGAAAGCGGTGACTGGATTTGGAGCTGAGTTTGCGCCCTCTACAACTAAGATTGAAGGACAACAACTTGACTTGAAGCTGGGTCCTGGAAAAACACAATGATCCCCTTCCCCAATTCCCCAATAAAATCTTAAAAAAAAAAAAAGACCACATTACTCAAAGCAATATACAGATTTAATGCAATCCCCATAAAAATCCCAATGGCATTTTTTAAAGATATAGAAAAAATTATCAGATGTGTATGGAATCACAGAAAAGCCTGAATAGGTAAAACAATCCTAAGAAAAAAACAAAACAAGGCTGGAGCATCATACTCCCTGACTTCAAATTATAATACAAAGCCACAACAATCAAAACAGTATGGTATTGGCAGAAAAAGAGACACACACACATCAATGGAACAGAACTGAGAACCCAGAAATAAACTCACATACATATATATGGGCTGATAATTTTCAACCAAGGAGCCAAAAACATACAATGGAGGAAAGAAAGCCTCTTCAATAAATGGTGCTGGAAAAATTGGAAAGCCACCTGCAAAAGAATGAAACTAGACTGCTATTGGCACCATGCACCATACCAAAATTAACTCAAAATGGATTAATACTTAAACACAGACCTGAAACAATAAAATAGAAGAAAACGTAAGTACTAAACTTATGGATCTTAGTCTTAAGAGGATTTTATGAATTTGACCTCAAAGGCAAGGGAAGTAAAAACAAAAATAAATCAATGGGGGCTGGCCGAGTGGCTCAATTGGTTAAGAGCACGAGCTCTGAGCAACAGGGTTGCCAGTTCGATTCCCACATGGACCAATGAGCTGCACCCGAGCTGAGCTGCCCTGAGCTGCAGATGGGCAGCAGATGAGGCTGTTCCCCTTCCCAAATCCCCAACACTGTTCCCCTCCCCAATTAAAAATAAATAAATAAATGGGACTATATCAAACTAAAAAGCTTCTGCAGCGCAAAAGAAACCATCAACAAAACAAAGACGCAACCAAACCAAACGAATGGGAGAAGGTATTTGCAAACAGCACTTCCGATAAGGGGCTAACAGACAAGCAACAGATATATGAAAAGATGCTCAACTTCACTAGCTATCAGGAAATGCAAATCAAAACCACAATGAGATACCATCTCACAGCTGTTAGAATAGCTATTATCAACAAGACAAGTAATAACAAGTGTTGGAGAGGTTGGGGGAGGGGGAAGAAATCCTCATATACTGCTGGTGGGAATGTAAATTGGCACAGCCACTATCGACAGCAGTATGGAAGTTCCTCAAAAACTTAAGAATAGAATTATGTGACCCAGCAATCTCTCTTTTGGATATGTACCCCCAAAATTTGAAAAAGTTTATCTGTAAAGATATATGTGCCCCTATGTTCAGTGCAGCCTTACTCATGGTGGCCAAGACATGGACACAACCAAAGGGTCCTTTGATAGATGACTGGATAAAGAAGATGTGGTACATATATACAATGGAATATTACTCAGCCATGAGAAAAGATGAAATACTGCCATTTGCGACAATGTGGGTGGGTCTTGAGATTACTATGCCAAGCGAAATAAGTCAGACAGAAAAATTAGAAAAACCATGATTTCACTAATATGTGGAATATAAAATTGAAGGCAACAAATGAACAAGACAAACAAACAAAACTCATAGACACAGATAACAGTTCAGTGGTTACCAGACGAAAAAGGGTTTAGAAAAGGAAAAGAAGAAAAGGATAAACGGGGTCCAATATATGGTGACAGAAGATTTGAATTTGGGTGATGAACACACAATGCAATATATAGATGATGTATTATAGAATTCAACACTTGAAACCTGTAAAAGTTTATTCACTAATGTCACCCCAATAAATTTAATTTAGAAAAAGACTACCAAGGTGTTGACAGCTATTAAAATAATCACTACATTTGAGCTAAGAAAGTAATCAAATCATGCAATTATTGACAAAACAAGGTATAAGGGAACTAGGTTTCAAATGCTGCTATTTCCTATGCATTCTGCCCACCCTAGAATAAACTAACTTGCACAAAAAATGAATCACTAATACTGTTGTTGATAGTGTGGTAGACACTTTTAGAAATATCTGCACAGTTAGTCCATACTACCCTTACTTCCCAAAACCCAACATACGAACAGGGATGAACCTTTATAGTCCTCTATGTAGAACAAAATTCCTCCTTCTCTGGACATAGCTGATTGGTAGATAGATCACTAATCCATTTGCTAGCCGCAACCCATTATTACCATCTGGTATAAACATTCTAGTTTACTGCATCAACAAAGCCACCTGAACCAGAAGGAAAACAATGATGTTCTTACTTGAGCTTCCTTAACTTTTTGAAGCTCTGATTGAAAGTCTTCCCCATTTCCGTTGTCCTCATCAGTATCACTGCAGACGCCACAAAAAAATGTAGGTGGAAGTTTTAATGTATCCGCTTTTGCCTTCTCTTCAACTGTTGGTTTCTTTTCCCAAACAATAATACATTCTTTTTCATTTTCTGAAAATCCCATACAACATAAGCACAAGACAGTTAATGTAAAAGAAGATGAAACCCAACTATTCTACAACAATGGTCCTCAATACAATCTACAGATTACAGACCCACGTAATGAGACCTACGAGTATTAGTACCAATGAAGAACAAGGACCACCAGGACAACAATGTTTTTCATATTTTTAAGTATCTTAAATCATCACAGGCATATTGTAGTAGCTACATATTGTAGATATATACCATATTTCCCCATGTGTAAGACACACCCTTTTTCGAAAAATTTGGCGTCTAAAAACTTGGTGCATATTATACAGTGGTTGTAGATTTTTTTTACTTGCATTTCCCGCTGAGGACAAGGCAATATATAAAGACAGTGATTCGTCATTAGACACAGATGAGGACAAGCTAATGGTTGGGAGTTTTGACAGTGATGAGGAGTTGTATGAATTTTATGATGAATAAAACTTGAGTTCAATAACTTTATGTTAATACATTTTTTTTTCAAATTTTGGGCCCCCAAATTAAGGTGCGTCTTACACATGGGGAAATACGGTACATAAATTTGGTTAATTACAGAAATTATCAGATTGGGAGATTTTTTAAACAGATTTAAAAAAAAAAAAACATTATAATTAGTAATTTTAACTTAACATACCTGTTAGATTTTTTTCTACTGGTCTACATTTTTCTGAGTCATCCAGATACAGTTGTCCATTAAGTTTCTTGACAGCTGTTTCAAAATCTTCATCTTAAAGTATAATTGATTTTATTAAATAAAAAAATTTCTAGAAAGTTTCAGTTTTCCTAGTCAAAAACCTAGAAAGTATCTCCAACCTCACACTTTTCCTTACTCCCCATATCGACATAGCAACCAATTTTGCCAGTTCTACTGGGTCATTGGGAAAGTTATGACGCATTTTTGCATTGAAAAACAGAAAAATACGTCATGACTTTCCCGACGACTCAATATATCCCTAATGCCTCTTTGACTGTTACAACTCTCATTGAAGCTCTCCTCTTGTTTGAGCTGCTCTATTACCATTTTTAGCTCATCTTCCTATCTCCATGTCCCACAACCCAATCCTGTATATCACTACCCACTGAAACTTTTCTGAGCATGTAGCTCTCCTGCTTAAAAACGCTGATATGGCACACACAGTTTTCAGTAATCAAACCCGTCTGCCTCATCCTTCTCCCATCCCTTTAGGACTCCAAGGAAATTATAATTGTTTTCAAATCCCTCAAAGTGCCTGCCCTGCTCATGGTAGCAATCCAAAAAATGCTCAATAAATGAATGCAGTTCTTCCAATCAATACATCCACTAACTATTTATACATACATTAGAATAAACATCTATTTACCCGCAAGGACAGCAGGAATGAGTTTTAAGAGCAGGCTTAATATAATTTCACCCCAATTATTAAGATTAGCATGAACAGAATGCTTTAAAATAACAAAAGATTTACCTTCCTCTTCTTCTTCGCTAACATAATCTGGTCTATTCTTATAACAGAAGAAAGTTGGAGGAAGTTTAAGTTTGCTTGCAAGAGCTTTTTGCTCAGGGGTTGGAGTTAGCTCATATACAATGAGAACATCATCATCTGGGTCAGAATCTTCAGGTTTTTTCTCTTTTGCTGTAACACGCCAAAAAATTGATAAAGGTGTTAAAAAGGTATCAACATCAATATTCTAACTGAAAACAAACACCATGAAACTTATTTTTAGATTAAAACAGCATACTGATAAAGACATATAAACTTTGATGTGGACAGAGCTCTATAATAACTAATCAGAATTAGTAGCATGATTTAATGTTCTATCAAAAACCCTTAGTGGAAACAGAATCTATTAAAAACAAAAAAACAACTCTGTTTTTACTTACTGATCATTGAAAAAAATTACTATTAATGGATATAATTTAAAAAGGTATTTAAAAAGTGCTGCCATAACCATGTTTGACATACTAAACAATAATTTAGCAAAATATCCATGCATTTGCAACTGAAAAAAATTAAATAAGTAAAAATTAGTGTAAATATGTATAATGCGAAGCCAAACTTGATTAGTTTCCAAAAGGAAAGTTAACAATTTCCAAGCATGGCAGGTAACTAGAGTTATATACAGTTTTGCATGTTTCCAAGCATAATAGGTAAAATTAAATAAAAAACTATTATCCTATAAGTAATAGTATAAGAATTTAAGACAATTTCTATAGCTGAAAAACCAAGGACAACAACAAAAAAGGCCAAAAAATGAAGAGAAAAGGAATTCTTCATACATTTTGCTCTAGTCTATCATATAAAAAAAGAATTTCTGGCTAAAGGAATTGATAAAGCAAGCACTTCTTGAAGCATACTATGTGCCATCTGATGCTGTCCAATATGAAAGCCTCGCCATCTGTGGCTATTAAGCACTTAAAAGGCAGCTAGTCCAAACTGAGAGGTGCTGCAGGTATAAAAATAGACACTGGACTTTGAAGACTTGGTACCAAAAAAAAGAATATAAAATACCTCATTATTTTCTACAGTGATTAGAAATTAAAATGGTACCCTGGATATAATGGGTTAAACTGAATATTAAAGTTAATTTCATCTTTTTCTCTTTTTTCACCTGTTTCTTTTTATTTTTTAATATGGCTACTAGAAAATTTTAAATTACACAGGTCACATTTCTTTCTACTGAATGGTACTGATCTAAAAAACTAGAGACCTGTTACAACACTAAACTTGCCTTTCACTCTCCTTCATTACAAAAACTTAATCAATTCCTAGCCAGGAAGAGTAAAAGAACATCATAAGATACAGATTCTTATTCCAGTTCTGTTGTGAGCTGGTAAAGACACTGGGACATATCGGACAGCCTGCTGGGCCCTAGTTCCCTCTTGTCTGAAGTCTTCATCTCTAGGATCCTTTGGGACTCGAAAGAGAATAAGGTTCTTTGTCCTGATGTAGTATATTGGTAAATTTGCTCTTAGGCCAGGGGTTTTTAGCCTAGGGCCCCTCAGAGTCTATGTGCAAATATATACCATTTACAGAAAAAAGCCCACACTTTTCAAACAATTCCTTAAAGACTGCATCCTTAAAAATAAAGCTTAAGGGCCGGCCGAGTGACGCGTTGGTTAAGAGCTGGCTTGGGATGCCAGCTCTGAGCAGCAGGGCCCCGGTTCAGATCCCATATTAGGGCCAGTGACGCTGCACCCTCTACAGCTAAGATGGTGAACAACAGCTCAACCTGGAGCTGGGCTGCCGTGAGTCGCCGGCAACGTGTAGGCTTCAGGGGGGCTGCAGTGGGCTGCTGTGAGCTACCATGAGTGGCCAGCAGCGAGCGTGAGTGACTGGCAGCCGGCATGAGCCACCATGAGCAGCCTTCCATGGCCTGGCGACCAATCTAACTCACCCAGGAAGAGCACAATGATAATACCAACATGGGACAGTGAAGCTATGTGCTCCACAACTAGACTGAAGAACAAAAGGACAGCAACTTGTCTGTCCCCCTTCCCTGATTCCCCAACGCTATTCCCCTCCCCCAATTCCCCAATAAAAAAATATTTTAAAAAATAAGAGGTCTGGGGCTCAGTTGGTTAAAAGCGCGAGCGTTAAGTAACAGGACCACCGGTTCAATTCCCACATGGGCCAGTGAGAGCTGCGCCCGATTCCCACATGGGCCAGTGAGCTGTGCCAGAGCTGAGCTGCCACTGAGCTGGTGATAGCATGTGGTCTTAGCAGCAAGGTTGCCGGTTCAACACCCATATGGGATGGTGGGTTGTGCCTCCCTCGCCCACAACTATGACTGAACACTGAACCTTGAGATGAGCAGCCATGAGCTGCCGATGGGCAGCCGGATGGCTCAGTGTGCAACAAGGTTGCTGATTTGACTCTCGCATGGGATGGACTACGCATCCCACCCCCTTCCCCAGAAACTAGATTGAAAGCGGCGACTGGTCTTAGAGCTGAGCTTGCGCCCTCCACATCTAAGATTGAAGGACAACAACTTGACTTGGAGCTGATGGGTCCTAGAAAAACACAATGTTCCCCTTCCCCAATTCCCCAACATTGTTCCCCTCCCCAATTACCCAATAAAAATCTTTAAAAAAAAAAAAATGAGGTCTACTTTCAAATATGATATTTTTCTAAACCACGTCCAAAAGGATAGCCCTAAGGGACACGTGTTGTATACATGCTATTGCCATCACATGTTTGGATACTGGCTGACATTAAAGATAAAGGTTAGATAAAATATATGTCTTCATTAAGCAGAGCAAAACTTAACAGAATAATGAAGTACAAAGCAGCAAAAGGTAAAGACCAATCACACAGATCTACCTCAAAATGTTATACAGTAGTGAAAAACATGACATCCAAGTACATTAAAAAAACAGTATTAAAGGGTGTTACACCACCAGTCAAAAGTTACATGCTTTAAACTGGCATTCTTCAACATGCACATTGTGGTGTGAAGTACTTCATTTCATACAGCCATAGTTACTTTACTAAAGACTACCAGCTGCTAAAAAAACTGATGTCATCTTATACTGAGAATGCTAGCTCTATACCTTTGTTCTCAGGCTGTGAGGAAGGGGTGCTGGTCCAAAAAGCCATTGGATTAGATTTAAAAAGACTAAAATTAAATCCTAGAAAATAAAGAGTATTTAATTTTTGAACATTCTGAAAATCAAAGTGAGTATTTCAAAATACAAAAAGCCCAAGTCCCTAAATTTGTACTAATTTGGCTGTTTTACATATTCATTTATTCCGGAGGCTCATTCTTTGCTCATTTAAACAATAGTGGCAAGACTGCCTCACATAAAATGGAAACATCTCAATACCATGGCTTTAGGGGTTTTTTTGACAAATAACAATAATAATTTAAAGAATGAACACTTTTTAAAAAATCAGACTCGAATTAATGCTCATGATTCAAGTACACGAGTCACTAAACTTCAGTACTGCATTGGGTACATGTGCTCTGTCCTAAGCATGATATAAATACCACCCAGTTATTAAAATCTCCTAAATAATTTACATACTCTGTTACGTTTGAACACTCACAGGTAAATTAGGCAGAGAAAAACATTCCCACAAATATTTTTTTTGGCTGTTCACAAACCACTGTCTTATAACCCAGCTTTTAGTAAAACATTAGTATCCTACAAAAAGTCTGCATCAAGATAAACATTAAAAGACAAAAATAAAAATTCTGTTAAATCTAAAGACTGAATGCTTACCCTTTTCTGCTGTTTTGAACATGTGATTAGTTGAGGACTCTTCCTTTGGAAAAGCAGCAAAGAGATTTCTGACTTTGCCATCTGCAGATTGTTTGATATCAGAGTCCTCTGACTCCTCGCAATTATTAGGTTCCATTTCTCTTTCAGATCCACTCTGGACTACTGAACTGGTTTCAGTGTTATTTTTTAAAGGTACATTAAAACTAAATCCAAACAAAGATCCAGTAGCTGAACTGTTACCAAATGCAAATGGTTTTGATTTTTCACTACCAAAAATGGTTTTAACAGACTCGGAACCAAATACAAACTTTGGAGGAGAAACCACTGCTTTTGTTGTTGTTTCAGATGTGCTAGACACTTCTCCCACTTCTGAAGTTGCATCTGCTATATCATCACCCTGAAGTAAATCTGTCCTCTCTCTCGTGGTTTCTTCTAATACAGCTACAGCAATTTTGCCACATGGTGACTCTCTGGACGTGGTCGAAAGAGAAACATGAGGCGTTATCAAAGAATCTTTCTCTTGGGCTATTTTTGCTTCATCAAATATTTTCTTAAATGAGTCTGCAACATCCTGTAGTTTAAAACGGACAGCTAAATGTTCTACTTTTCTTTCTCCGTCTGCAAAATCACATGCAGTCCACACCCACACTCTTTCTGTCCCTTTCATATTTTGCAAAGTCATGTCTGGAGTTATTCTGTGATTGGCACAAAGTTTTAATACCTGGTCCCTTCTCATCACTATACGAACTTGTTTACTATCATAATTCTGTAAAATCTTTATGTCACCAATGCCTCTTTCTTTCCACTGACCAACATCTTTATCGTATCTATAGAGTTTTGCTCTGTGACTAAAAACAACTTGTTCATTTTCCTCACCACTGGACACTTCAACTAGATCAGGTAAAGGTACAACAGGTTCAAAGTACTGTCCATCTCTCTCTTCTTCTTGAGTAACATCAGATTCTTCATCGGTGCCAACTGAGGTCCCACTCTGATTCAACTTGGCAGGCGACTTAGATGGACTCAAAGCAGATTTAAAACTAAAGTTAAATCCTGTTGTTGACTCACCAAAGCGGAAGAGATTTTTTCTCACAGGGCTACTTGCCAATGGAGAAGCATGTACTGAGCTACTACTTACACTATCATCCAAAGCATCTTCCCTTAAATCATAGTTATCCCACTCTAATGCGGGCCCAGTGTTTTCAGGATTTGGCTTGGTGGTTGTGTCTGAAGCGCTGGTGGCACCTGCATCTGAACTCTTACTCTCTTCCTCAGTGACTTTTGTTTGATCATTTGTCAAAAATGTTTTGAAATCTTTTAGTCCACTCTTCATTTCTTCAGCTCTCTGTATTAACTTGGCAGCTCTGCCAGTATCTACCAGTTTATGGGGAGTTTGAAGTGGTATATCTAATAGAAGTCGCTGACATTCCTCAAATTTCTGCTTGAATTCTTCAGCCAGCTCTGGTGTTTTAAATTTTGCTGCCAGCTGCTCTAGTTTGGCATCACCATCAGAAAAATCACTAGCTAACCACATCCATGCTCTATCTGACCCAGAGAGAGGCTTCAGGTTCATTGTCGTCGTTATCCAATGATTAGCACACACTTTTAGTACTTGTTCTCTTCGCATCAGCATTCTTAGTTTGCCATTGACTTCATTTTTGAGAATTTTTAAGTTCCCCAAACCCCTTTCTTTCCACTGACTTATCTCAGCATCAAATCTAAATAACTTGACCCGCTGGGAATAAAGAACTTTTTCATCTTCTTCTCCTGTTACAAGTTCCACTTTTTCAGGCATTTGAACTACTGGTTCAAAATGGATGTCATCACTGTCTTCAGTCTTATAGGCATCATCATCCTTCTCAAGGTCAGAAGTGTCAGCTTTATCAGTCACTTTACCACTTTGCAATGAGAATAGTTTTTCTCCGGCACCTGAAAATCCCTTGAAATTAGGGTCCTTTTTGCCAAATTGAAATCCTTCTCCTGAAGCTGATTTTGCAAGATCTGCAAAGGTAAAAGTGCTACCAGTTTGCCCAAATATCACACCACTATCATTTTTCTGACTACTAACGTCCTGAGCCTGAAAACCAGTGTCATTTTCAAGAGGTTTTTCACTCTTCTTCTCTTGATTTCCCGGCTCCTGAATGCCAAATTTGAATCCATTGGCAAACACAGGAATAGAAAAATTAAATCCTTCTGTTGTTGACTTAGCGTCCATATCAGAAGAATCCTGAAATGTAAGTGAAGGCATATTTTCTTGATCCACATGCCCAAATTTAAATCCTTGTTCTGTGATGCCAAATTGAAAAGCTTTTTCTGAATAGTTACTTTTAAATCCTGTTCCCACCTGACTTTCAGAAGAGTCATTTAACTTAGTTTTTGAGCCCAGTGTGAAAGCTGAAGGAGCTTCTACAACAGGAGTATGAGTTGGTTTAGAGGCAGCACAAGCCACACATTTTAAGGAAGAACTCTCATTTTCCACAAAGCAAAGACTACAATCCCACTGTCCTTCCTTCTTGGCGAACATTCCTTCAAATCCACTTTTTGTGGCCTTGCTTGTCTCCGAAGGACTAAACTTGAAAGAGGCAGGTGTTAGGCTCGGTTTAGCCGGATTCTGACAAGCAATACAATTTGTAGCATTTGCTTCAT